ATCAGCTGAGCCATTTGCTTTTTTGAGAGACTTTGGAACTCCATAGCATTCTCCCACACTTACAAATTTCAAAAATTTCAGCTTACTCTGTGTCCTTGAATATCATTAAATGTGACAGTAATCACCTGCCTTTTTTTTTTTTTTTGCTGGTCCTGAGGCTTGAACTCAGAGCCTGGGTACTATCCTCAATCCTCTATGCTCAAGGATAGAGTTATACCATTTGAACCACGGCGCCACTTCTTGCTTTTTCTGTTTGTGGTACTTAGGAATTGAACCCAGGGCTTCATGCATGCTAGGCAAGCACTCTACCACCAAGCCACTTTCCCAACCCCTTATCTGCCTTTTTAAGGGACTTTTTCTTGGCTTGGAGTCCCGAAAGGTGTGTTATTTTTAATAAAGGCTAGTGGCTTATGTCCATAGTTCAACTCAGGGATCTGAGATCTGAGGACTATAGTTCAAAGCCAGCCTGTGAAAAAATGTTTGCAAGGATCTCGTTAAAAAGCTGGATGGGCTTCCTTGCCTCGCATGCATAAGGCCCTGGGTTCAATTACCTATCACCACATAAGCAGACAAAGCCAGAAGTGCTGCTGTGGCTCAAGTGGTAGAGTGCTAGTCGAGCTGAAGAGCTGAGGGACAGTGCCCAGGCTGAGTTCAGGCCCCATAACCAGCAAAAAGAAAAGAAGCTGGAAGTAGACATGGCTCAGGTGATGAGCACGTTAGCATTGTGAGAATCCTCTTTCTACCCACTATTTTGAGGCCAAGAGATAGGCGTAATTTTTTTTTCTTTTTTGGTTTTGGAGCTTTAACTTTGGGCACTGCCCCTCAGCTCTTCAGCTCAAGGCAAGTGCTCCACCACTTGAGCCACAGCACAACTTTTGCTTTTCTGGTAGTTTATTGGAGATAAGTGTCTTAAGGACGGGCTGGGAAGTTGGCTCAGTGGTAGAGCGCTTGCCTTGCATGCCTGAGGCCCTGGGTTCAATTCCTCAACACCACATAAGCAAAAAGAAAAAAGCTGAAAGTGGTGCTGTGGCTCAAGTGGTAGAGTGCTAGCCTTGAGCTGAAGAGCTGAGGGACAGCGCTCAGACCCAGAGTTCAGGCCCCACGACCGGACCCCCCCCCAAAAAAAATAGAGTCCCAAGGACTTTTCCTACCTGGGCTGGCTTTGAACCAAGATCCACATATCTAGCCTCCTGAGTAGCTAGGATTACAGGTGCAAGCCACCAGGTGCACCCAGCGGGTACTTGGTCTTTGGACAGAAGGCCTTGCACTGGACAAATAAATACATGTACTGCCTCTGAACCACACATGAAGTCTTGATAATTCCAAGGAAATTATTTTGAAATATAGCTCACCAGGTAGTGATTAGTTACAAGAGCCTATAACTGGAATTGAGAAAATGCAAATTAGGTGTCACTGACTACCTTGAGGACAAATGCAAAACTGAACAAAAGGACAAGTGAATTGTAATCTAGGTCTTTTTTGTTGTTGGTTGTGGGGCTTGAACTCTGCCCTGGGAGCTGATCCTGAGCTCTTCAGCTCAAGGCAAGCACCACTTCCTGTTTTCTGGTGATTAACTGAAAAGTCTCACTTTGCTGCCTGAACTGAGATCCTGAGATCTCAGCATCTTGAGAAGGATTACAGGTGTGAGCCACCAGAACCCGGCTAGAGGGTGTTACAAAGCTGAATAGAAGACCTTTGAAAGGCTCTGCTCTAGAGCTGGGTGTTAGTGGCTCATGCCTGTTATCCTATTCCTAGGGCTGATATCTGAGGATGGTAGTTTGAAGCCATTTTGGGTAGTTAAGTCTGTGAGACTCATCTACAAAGGTGGCTCAAGTGGTGGAGAGCTATCCTTGAGCAGAACCCAGGTCCTGAATTTGTTACACTCACAAACAGATGCTGATCTACGGGCTTGGCTTAAGATCCAGGATACTTAAAAACGTGTGGATGATGTGGTGCTGTTGTTTCTGAAGAAAGCATGATGCAAAGTGCTACAAAGTGCATTGTGGATTCAGCCACTGCTAAGGAAGTACTGCTGCCAGGGCAAAGCAAAAAAGAAAAGAATGATGCTCCCAAGAATCGAATCAGGAGTGAGGCAAACAGGAAAGGCTCTACCAAGATCCAGCAAGAGTAGAAATGTGATTTAGAGTTAAAATTCACACAGGTTGGGGAGGACAACAAAAGACAAAGCTGATTTCAGATAAAAATTGCAAAAAAAAAAAAAAAGTAAATTCAAAATAACCATTCTAGCTCCTGCCTTCTTGAAAAAATCAGGGGAAAAGCAATTAACCTTAATCTGGAATAAATTAATATGTGGGAATTGTTGGCTGTTTAAATGGCCATGGTTCAAATATTTATATTTTATCCTAATAGTAATAACTGACCTCATCTTACAATACTCTCCACAACTCTTAGGAAATTACCAGGCCCCAGTGGCTCATGCCTATAATCCTACTCAGGAGGCTGAGATCTGAGGATCACAGTTCAATGCCAACCTGGGCAGGAAAGTCCGTGAGACTCTATCTCCAATAAACCACTAGAAAACAGAAGTGGTGCTGTGGCTCAAGTGGTAGAGTGCTCTTGAGCTGATGAGTGCAGGGACAACACCCAAGCCCAGAATTCAAGCCCATGATCAACAACAACAACAACAAAAAAAAACAGAACTGCCAGGCATTGATGATGCCTATAATCCTAGGTACCTGGGAGAGATCAGAATGCACCTAGGTGGAGTTCAAGCCCCACAGCCAACAAAAAAAAAACAAAAAGCAAAAAAACAGAATTCTGGTGTGAGGCCAGCCTATGGCAAGGCCAATATCCCATCACAAAATGCTAGGTATTGTGGTACATTCCCATTATTCTAGGTATAGTATGAGGATCTACACTATAGCTGGGCACAAACTGGATATCCTACTTGAAAAAGGGCTAATTTGTTGTTCAAGCTCTAACCAGTATACAGATATAGTTCAAACCCCAGTATTACATGTCTCAATGAAATTCTGTAATCCTAGCTACTAAGGTTGAGATGAGGGTCAAAGTTCAAAGGCAATCCAGGCAGTAGGCTGAGACTCGTCTCCAACTAAGCAGAGCTATATATTTCAGTGGCAAAGCACTACTTTTGGGGAAAAAAGCTTAAGGACAGTGCTCGTTCAAGAATGGCCCAAAAACAATGGTGGAGCCAGGTGCTAGTGGTTCACGCCTGTAATCCTAGCTACTCAGGAGGCTGAGATCTGAGGAGCTGAGGTTCATAGCCAGCTCAGGCAGGAAAGTCTGTGAGACTCTTCAATAAACTACTAGAAAACCGGAAGTGACAATGTAGTTCAAGAGGTAGAGCGCTCACCTTGAGCTGAAGAGCTGAGGGAGGGATAGTGCCCGAGCCAAAAAAACAATGGAGATGGATTTTTGCTCCCCTCCCCCATTTGCGCATTTATGTGTTGGGGGGACAAAGGAGAGCTGTGCTACCACAAATGCAGCAGTGGTACTCAGTAGACATATGGAGAAAGCAAAGGGGTGGGGTGCAATGAACTTATTACCTGACTTATGAAATGGTAATCCCTCTGTGTATCACCTTAAAGGTAGAGAAACAGAAAGGATAAGGTTACCAGAGAAATGTTGGTTGTTTTTTTTTAAAAAAGGCCCAGACGAGGGCTGGGAAGGTGGCTCAGTGGTAGAGCACTTGCCTTGCATGCATGAGGCCCTGGGTTCAATTCCTCAGTACCACATAAGCAAAAAGAAAAAAGCCGGGAGTGGCGCTGTGGCTCAAGTGGTAGAATGCTAGCCTTGAGCTGAAGAGCTGAGGGACAGCGTCCAGGCACAGAGTTCACGTCCCTCAATCAGACCCAAAGAAACAAAACAAAACAAATATAAAAGGCCCAGACGAATCTCGAAAGAACATATTTCCTTTATTTAAAACTTTTTTACAAAATTTAACAAGAGGCCCATCTGTTGTAGTTATTTGAAAAGTAGTCAGGTTTTCATAACATGAATATCATCCAGTTGGAAAGTATAAACACCCAAAATATAATTTTAATGAGAAATTTAACAGTTCAAATAAATACAAATGACCCAAATGGACAGTTATCCCATCCAAATTCTACTGAGACTGAAGACGAGGAAACACCAATTCTTGCATTTTTGTTGGGAATATAAATTGGCCAATCCTTAAAGAAAGCAATCTGTCAGTGTCAGAAAGAAAAGTGTACATATTGATAATTGGGAAGATCAGGGATAATGATTCTGAGTTTGAGGCCAGTCTGGGCTACATGAGACCCTGTTACCAAGTTAAAAAAAACAACAACCAAAAAACCCCTACCCACAATGAATGTACAAAAGCTGGGTATGGTAGTACATGCCTATAGTTGCAGCACCCAAGAGATTAAGGTAGGACTACTTGAGCCCATTAGTGTAAGGCCAGTGTAGACAACAGAAGACCCTGTTTCACACACACAAATAACAGAAAAATCACACACACTAAGTGGGCATGGCCATAATACATGCCTGTGTTATTAAACCGTGAGTTTGAGAGCAGCCTGGACAACATAACAAGACCCTGTCATACACAAAAAGAAAAAGAAAAAAAACACCCACAATCTGGGCATAGTAGTGCTGTGATCTTAGCACTTGAGCTTGAGGCTGGACTGTTTGAGCCCAGGAATTTAAAGGTGGCCTGAGCTGCAAAACAAGACCTTGTCATAAAAATAACACCTCTTACTGCCACCCCCCAACACATACACATACCATTTGGGAATAGTAATAGTATGTGCATATAGTCTCAACACATACGAGCCCCCAAGTTGGGCGTCCCAATAGTACACATGTCTGTTTAAGCCTATGAATTTAAGGGCAGCCTAGAAACAAAACAAAGGCCTTGTCATAGACAGAAAGAAAAAAAACCCACCACCTGGGCACGATAGTGCTGCAGTCTCAGCACTCAAGCTTAAGGAAGCACTGCTTAAGCTTAAGCGTTTAAGACTAGCTTGGGCTGGAAATGAGACCTTGTCATAAAAATGAAAAACAAAAGCCCCACAACTTGTATATTGTAATAGCGAGTTGTGGGTCAGCCTGGGCAATACTGAAAGTCCCTGTTACACACATAAACACACATACAAAAAAAGAACCCACAATCTGGGCATGATAGTGCTGTAGTCTTGGCACTCGAGTTTAAGGTCTGCCTGAGCCCACAAGTTTAAGATTAGAGGTACAAAATGAAACTTTGGTCTCACACATGAAGAAAAAAAAGATACCCACTCCTAATTTGGGTGTAGTAGCAGTATAGTTTCAGCACTCCAGGTTAAGGCAGGACTGCTTAAGTCCATGACTGGTTTACATAGTAATGAAGCCATGTCTCACACTCACACTCACTCACACACACACACAAAGCACAATCTGGGCACAGTAGTGCATCATGCCTAGTCTTAGCACTCAAGGGGCTGAAGCAAGACTGATTGAGTCTGAGTTTAAGGTCAGCCTCAGCAATACATGAGACCTAATATCAAGAACAAAAAACCTTTAAGTTTAGTAACACCCATCATACATTACATAGAAAAAAACCCTGTATGATCTACCTTATTACTTATTGCAAGTACCTCTAAATATATTTAAGAAACATACAAATTCAAGGTGTGGAACTGAGTACTAAAGAAGGAATGGAGAATTCACTGTCATTCTGTAACTTTTGAATTTTTAAATTAAATTTGTGCTATACTGTCTAGGGTAGATACTTTCTTAAAAAAGATATAAAAATATAAAAGGTAAAACTATAATAAAAACAGGAAATAAAAAGGAGACGTAATTTTGAAATAAAAACTAGGATCTCAAGACCAGAGTATTGATGAGACTCTACAGTTCAACTACATAGGAGGCTGAGGTGGGATAATTATTTAAGCTCACAAAATGCACACGTCTAGGCAATAAACTTACAAACCTCATTAGGATAACACAAATTCAGTTTCAGGTGTTATGTACCTTTCTTCTGACTGATAAACTTTTCTACAATTCCACTGAGTCCTTCAGACTCTATCAATTTACTTACTAATTCCTGCTCAACAGCCATCAGGGCTAGGCCACTATGCTTCTCTTGTCCAATGGTATGAAATAAGTATCTTTTAAGACGAGGAAGTGTAGAAAATAAATTTTCAGCACTCAGTGAGGTAATAGGCCATGATAAAGCAATATGTAACAGCTTGGAGATTGAAGGAATATTATTGTAAAGACCATGCTGAATAAATAGATAACCCAAGTTGATGAAGTTGATGGAATCAGAATGTGAAATGAAGTTAAGCTTTGCATACTGCTGATAAAATCTAAGTTCAGGGATAATGTCTGTATCAAGGTTACAAAATTCTTGAACATATTTGGCTGTTGTTTCATTTAATGGCTCATTCCACTTCAGTAATAGCTGTGAAATTTGCTTCATTTTGCAATAATCAAACTCTGAAAAATATAACTTTAAATTGTGTAATACAGTATCCAATCCTTGGTAATAAATACTAATTTTATATTGTTCGTCTGTTGAAGTAGAAAAAAGCATACTATCTGAATTGCCAGGATCTACAGTTTTTTGAATTTTTCTTCTTTTTTGAAGTGAAGGTTTTTCAACTTCAAAACCTTTACTGGTTACTTTTTTACGTATTTCCTCTGCTCCATCCCAGATTATTTTAAAAAATGCATCACTTCTTTCAGAGGTTAAACACTCCAAAACTGTTTCTATTTTTGAAGACAAAGAAAAAATGTCCATGGTTTCACTTTGCAGCTCTCTGGAAAGAATTCTTGTAACACTGAGGACTCGATAAAGAAATTTCAAACAAAAGATAAATTCAAATTTGGAAATCAATGTCAGCAAGTCACTCAATTCACCAGCCAGACTTCTGTTAGAATGGCATGATATAAAGGCCAGTGTTTCAATAATCTCTGGAAGACCATCAATCACAGATAGTAACACATCATCATGAACTATGTAACATGTTTGTGACATATGTTTCTTGCATGTTTTATCTTGACCAAGTTTGCAAATGTTTTGAAACTTTGCAAACATTTCTCCAGATACATGAATAATGTTAAACAAAGAACTGAGAGTATTTAGAGCACCTCTAAGTTCTTTTATTTCCTTACAAAACCCAGTTACTGCAAACTCAAAAAAATGTGCATAACAATGCATGTATAAAGCTCTTGGCTCTTCCTTCTTGAATTCTGTAGCCATTTTATTAAATTTTAGCCTCAAATTAGTAGTACTTTCATAGGCCTGGCCAGATATTTTACTCAAGTCAACTCCAAGGTGCTGTAGGTATGTTTTGATATTCTTATGTAAGTGGGTCTCAGTCAGCTCTTCAATATCAACAAAACCCAAAAACCGTTCCTTAATTAAGACAGCCGTTGATGTTTTCTGTGCATATCTTACACAAACTGAAAATTGTCCTTTAATGGAACTGCCAGTTGTCTCATCACATATTATTGAAAAAGCAGGAGAGACATTGATCTCATTCACAATATCCTGCAACATTTCAGTCTTTATTAGTTCAATTATATCAATTTGTGTCTGTGTACTATTATAGAAGTCAACTTCTGAATTCCCAAGTTGAAACATTTCTTTTTTATCTTTCGTTCTCATTTCTAACAATTCTAAAAAATTGCCTTTATTTACAGATGAAATAGACTGGCTATTTCCTTTTAGTGGTAAACACTGCTTTCCAAGAAATAAAATATTTTCAATTATAAGCTTTAGGTACTTTTTATGACTATCTTCAATTTGTTTTGAATTATCATGGATAGCTTCATCACAAAGCTGGTATTGCCTCCAAAGTTGAACTGCTTTCAAATGCATTTCACTTTCTTCATGCTTCCTGAAATTTTCCAGAGGTCTTTTCAAATTACAAGCTCTTTGCGTTGCAAGTGATTCTTCCCTACAGGTAAAATTTTTCTGGTAGAATAAATGACAAAAATAACAAAATGGCACATCTTTTTTAATATTGTTCTCCAAATGCTGGAAATCCAAACGCCGGGATTTTTTTATACCTTGTGGTTTATCTTCAACTTTTTGTACTTTGGGTGTAAATTTTGGGTGACAGAGACCATCACTTCCTTTCACAGATTTCCCAGTGTATGTAGGACCCTGGCTGGAAACTTTGTCTATCTGCACTTCAGTACTGGAATCAACTGTATGCTGATTGAGTACTGATGAAGACGGTAAAAGGCTTGGCTGTTCCAAACTATTACCAACACCATCACTTGATTCATTGGGCGAGTTCTTGCAGATCTTTGGAAAAAGGGATAAAACTTGCTTTTAAAAAAAAGCTTTCAAATTATCAAAACATTGAAAATCTGTATTCTAACACAGTAAAGTATATGAGAGCTTTAAGGTGAAACATTAACAATTAATTATCACTGACTTGTAATCTAGATCTAGATTCAGCATTAAATGTTTAAATGAGTACATGTCATAGTACATTATAGAAAAATAGTACTTATTCAGATGATTAGAGCTGCTGGTTAAAACACAAATACACTAAGAAGGATAGAAATATGACTATGTCTTTTCTGTGCATAATGTGCACAATGGTCCCAGGGCTTGAACTCAGGGCCTACGCACTGTCCCTGAGCTTATTTGCTCGAGGCTAGCACTCTACCACTTGAGTCATAGCTCTACTTCTGGCTTTTTGGTAGAAAACTGGAGATAAGAGTCTCATGGATTTTCCTGCCCAGGCTGGCTGAACCTGGATTCTATGATCTTGACCTCCTGAGAAGCTAGTATTTTTATATATGTACATATATAATTTACTCATGAAAGTGAACAAAGCCAAAAATTTTAAGACTTACATCTGTGATCTCATTTGTCCCAACTGAAGAATCTGTACCTTCAAAACAAATTGAAGCATATATTAAAGATCTCATACTATAATCTATAAACTGCTGTATTTTTTGCCAGTCAGGGGCTTGAACTCTGGGCCTGGGCGCTGTCCCTCAGCTCTTCAGCTCAAGGCTAGCACTTTACCACCTGAGCCACAGCACCACTTCCAGCTTTTTCTGCTTATGTGGTGCTGAGGAATCAAACCCAGGGCCTTATGCAAGCACTCTATCAATGAGCCACCTTCCCAGCCTTACAATTCATTCCTTATCAAAAAAGAACAGGAAAATTTATTATAGACACCTTCATAAAGTATGACAAAACAGTGTTTATGACAAATGTTTTCATGTCAACTTTACCTTCTAAGAGATCACTGTTCATGATGGGCTGGGAAACCTGAGTATCTGCTAATGACACTATGTTGCTTATAACTGGAATAGATTCTTTCTTTGGAGAAAGAGGATCTGTTGCAGCATCTTGCACCATGGCAACATCTTTTGTGATTAAAAACAAAAATATTTGTTAAAAACTAGGTAGAATCAATTGGAAAACACGTTAAAAATTAGACTGGGCTAAGGTTATACCTCAGTGATTGGGCCCTTACTGTTTTTTTTGTTGTTTGGTTGGTCATAGGGCTTGAACTCTGGGCCTGGGCACTGTCCCTGAGCTCTTCAGCTCAAGGCTAGTGTTCTACCACTTGATCCACAGCAACACTTATAAGTCTCACAGGGGCTTGGAAGGTGACTCAGTGGTAGAGTGCTCGCTTTGAATGCATGAGGCCCTGGGTTCAATTCCTCAGCACCATATAAGCAGAAAAGGCCAAAAGTGATGCTATGGCTCAAGTGATCGAGCACTAAGCCTTGAGCTAAAGAGCTCAGGGACAGTGCCCAGAGTTCAAGGCCCACAATGGACAAAAAAAAAAAGTCCCAAGTATTTTCCTGCCCGGGCTGGCTTTGAACCACGATCCTCAGATGTCAGCCTCCTGAGTAGCTAGGACTACAGGCGTGAGCCACCAGCACCTGGCTCCCTTGCTTCTTATGAAACCTGTTATATGATCCCCAACACTGATTATCTTCTGTTTCAAAATAAATAATCTTAAGGTATTTAAAGGGTAAAATTTTTATTTGGGCTTAGAAACAGCAAGATTCCTTAATAAGTCAATAACATTAAATTGGTTAACTTTTGTCTTTGCACATAGTTTCTCAGTAGTTTTACACTATTTGGTAACATTTTTAACTCTTTCAGGATTCATAAATAGCAACATTAAGGGAACTATTATTCACTAGGTTGTCTATATAGTAAGCACTGCTGACCCTTTATCAGGCTCTTTGACAGAACACCTACTTGGTACTAGAATTTGGTTCCTTTAGCTGCTATCATTGAATCTTGTATAGTAGTAAGAACTATAGTCATACTGGGCTAAATTCTCAGTCCTTCATCATTGTTATTAAAACATTTCAAACTATACTACACTTTATATGAAAATCTAAATTAAAGTCTTGTTTTCACGAAGCAGAGTAAGTATATACTTTTTTCCAAAACCATTCTTACTACAATGTATTGAATAAGCTAAATGTTGACCAAGTGACTCCTAAAAACTAAGCCCTAAAATAGGTTGTTAATATATACTAGTGAAAACAAAACTGTACTAATGTATTTAGCTAAATATTTATGTAGGCTGGAGTTATGATTTCAAGTGTCTACTTATCATATGGATTACTAAGTTCAAACCCTAGTCCTTTTATTGTTTTTTGTTTTTTTTGTCAGTCATGGGGCCTGAACTCTGGGCCTGGGTGCTGTCCCTGAGCTCTTCAGCTCAAGGCTAGCGCTCTACCACTTGAGCCACAATGCCAATTCCGGCTTTTTCTGCTTATGTGGTACTGAAGAATCAAACCCAGGGCCTCATGCATGCAAGGCAAGCGCTCTACCACTGAGCCACCTTCCCAGCCCCAAACCCTAGCATTTCTAATGATAGAATAAAATGCATTAAAAAAAAATTTTAAGCCAGGTGAAATCTAAGCCAGGTGCTGGTGGCTCAGGCCTGTAATCCCAGCGACTCAAGAGGCTGAGGTCTGAGCAATGTCCATGAGACTCATATCTCCAATCAACTATTAAAACTTTTTAAGCTGGAAGTAGAGCTGTGGCTCAAAGTGATAATAATGCTAGCCTTAAGTACAAAAGCTCAGGGACACCACCCAGACCCTGAGTTCAAACCCCACAACTGGCACACACATAAAAATTAAGTCTATAGACTGGAAAGGCGGCTCAGTGGTAGAGTGCTTGCCTTGCATGCATGAGGCCCTGGGTTCAATTCCTTAGCACCACATATGCAGAAAAAGCCAGAAGTGGCACTGTGGTTCAAATGGTAGAGCACTAGCCTTGAGCTGAAGAGCTGAGGGACAGAGCCCAGGCCCAGAGTTCAGGCCCCACGACTGGACCCCCCTCCCAAAAAAAAAAGAAGACATGAATACATTAGTGATACATGTTTTTATGTTATTATTTAGACTTTATTTTTTGTCAGTCGTGGGGCCTGAACTCGGCCTCAGCTCTTCAGCTCAAGGCTAGCGCTCTACCACTTGAGCCACAGCACCACTTCCGGCTTTTTTCTTTTTGCTTATGTGGTGCTGAGGAATCG